TTAATCGCCAAGCGGATTTTTTGGCGAAGAACGCTCTGCTTTCTGTTTTGTAATATCTTTCTTATTAATGATAATTAGAAACTTTGAAAGAAAGAATAAATCAATCATTATACATAGTGTTACAGCTTTATGGCATTCAATCTAATATTATAACTAGAGCATGAAGGAGAGCATTGGACGAATTCTTTTGGATCAAACCATGTGGCTTTAGTTTTTGTTGTCATAGACAAATAGATTAGTTAGTTTCGCTTATGAAAAAAAATTCAATCCTAAATTTAGAAAAACAAGAACTAAGAACAAGAATTAATTATTTAATATTTTTAAACTTATGTCCTAATTTGCAATTATGTAAAATTTAAGGACCTTAAAATAAAAAATGTTTAGAAAATGGGACCCGGTGCTGTGGCACACCCAGCACACCCCAAGAGTCGGCACTGGTAATATCACAACTAATATACTATATATAGTTTTAAATTTGAATAGTAAAACTTCGAGTTTACAATCAAGTTACTTGAACCACACGTGATGTCGGATTCACAAGTAAGTAGGAAACACTGACGATACTGGTATAGGAAAAGGAACCACTTCCAATTTACATTCAATCGTATCTTTTACCTCTATATAAACAATCTATATGTAGGAAATGCTGTATGCTTCATGTCGACATGACGAAAAAATCATAAGACAATGTCGTAGTTAATGTTATACATTGTTATGTACTTATGTTCACACTTAATCGATATGTATGTTGTATTTTTTGTTTCGACATAACTAAAAGAACCATAATACAATTCCGTAATACGATGAGGATTCATTCTCTAATTTGCAAAAAAAAAAAAAAAGGTATCTATAGACCATCACCTCGTAATATGAAAAAAATCAGTTATTTACTTATTAGGCCAAAAATGTGAAACAGGCCGAAATAAAAGCCCACTTAAGAAAGCCTAAATTTGTTTTCTGAGAATTAAGGTTTTTTTAATTTTTTTGTCAGTCAAACTCAAAACCATCAACGTTCGTATATAAAGAGACCTAATCGTTACATTAATTCTTATAAACCTTAAAAAACGGATCAAATATTGTTATATGGGCTTCCAACAAACACTCCATTTTTATCAATTACTAGGTGATCATCCGCGCTACGCCGCGGTTTTTTCGGATTTTTTTGTATTGTTTAATTTAAATATAATTTTTATTTATTATCAATGATTTAGTATAAAGTACAAGGGAAAACAATTTTTACATTGATCATCAGAAATTCAGAATTATTATATTTTGTTGACATTAAACGATCAACACAATCTTGAGTGAAATACAAACAACCAATACAACAAATATTTATCACACACAATTAAAATACCATTGAAGAAAAACATTTTTAGTTCATAATTTCCTCCCACGAAATCATATTATTGCTTCTTTTTGTTTTGGTAAACACTCTGAATCTATTTGTGGAATTCGATAACAGAATATGTATAAGCAAGACCACTTACTTCACATTTATGAAAACCTGAAGCAGAGGCTAAAGCTTCAAACTGAGCAAAAGACCTCACTTTACCACCCGAACATTGTGTTAACATCAACATGTCCGTACCAAACAACCTTAGAGAAAATGTCGTCACTCTTTGGTTCTGATGGTGCAACCATGTCAACTATTATAACTTTTCCCTTTTCCGGAAGACTCTTCCAACAATTTGTTAATATCTTTACACAATCTTTGTCGTTCCAGTCACGTAATATCCGCTACGTAAACAATTTTAGTTTGTAAATTATAGTAATCATAAAATTTTCCATTCAAGATACGTATGTATATGTATAACGTATGTATATGTATATAACTTACCCTCATGAAGATTGCATCTCCTTTTGGAACGTCTATAAACATATCTCCGGGTACATGCTCAACTCCTAAAAAATAATTTTGGTAAGACTAAATAAAATTAAATCAATTTTCAACTTGTCAGAATTGATCAAATTGCGGCTAGATCGAAATTGATACCCTTAATTTGAGGATACTTGGACGAAATGACAAGATTTAGAATGGTGCCAAGTCCTCCTCCAATATCAACTAAAGTATTTACATCTTTTAATCCTTTGTAAACTTCTAAAATCTTCGTCATGATCATGGTAGAGGAATCTGACATTGCCTGGTTAAATATAGCAGCGAATTGTTCGTCCGTTTCAACGTATTCGTAGAGTCCCATGCCATGGGCAGAACTGAATGCATCTTTTTCTTCGTGTATCACATCCTTCAGATGTGTCCTGTAACATAAATCTTCTATTGTTCATTGAAAGTACGTGTATATATAGAGTACCTTTATCGCATATTGGTTTAGTAAAAAGGTTATTAACCGGTTTAATACAAATGAGGATCAACTACTAATTTGGCTGATTTGCAAATATTTAGGTACGTATAACGTACCAAGTTTTGAAAAAGACTTGGCTTTGGAGCAACATGAACTGGGACATGAGAGAACCTGAGTTGACTCCACGGTTTACGAAAAAAGCGCAAACCGGTTCCGCTGCATATACCCTTTGGGTACTTTCGGTTCGATTGTTTTCTCCGGTTTCAACTAAACGACATTTCAAGATCGAGTGGCTGACGAGTAACCGTTACATACGGTCTATCAACATCGGTGCCTCTGGGTTGGTAGGCTTGGTAGGGAGACCAAAAGCTATCTCGGAAGGCGAGAGCCATACGCCCTCCTCAAGGGCAACAATCGTATGGAGGACGCCAAGCTCCAAGGCAGCTTTGAAAACCATGGGAAAAGCCAATGAGTTTGTGATCCTCAACGCTTGCATTTGCATGCTCATCATTTCTTCGTCAACTTGTTCTTGTTCTCTGGTTGGACCCGGTTTAGGGTAAGTGGTTAAGGACTCTTGATGATGGTTTGTCATTGTTGTCGTTGTTAGAAAATAGAATAAGATGGATAACAAAGGTAGAGATGAAAAGAAAGGATGGTGTCAACAGGTAAACTTAGTTCCATTTTATAGGGAGAGATCTCAAACCAAGTGTACCGAGTACCGACATTTGATTTGGTGACTCCTGACTACGATTTGTGCCTAAAATTTTATATTCATAGGGGCTAACGAAAGCATTATCTACATCAGTCTAAAAATTCACCTTATGTCTACAAATTTTATGTTGAAGAAACGTCTAAATCTTGCTTGCATCGATTGATATCAAACAATTATGCAAAATCTCAAATTTCTCGAGGTAATATGATAACCTTACAAATTTTCTTTTATTTTGATGACCAACAAAAATAATAAGGGACTAATGTAATTCATGAAGACTTGACCATGGATACAATGTGAACCATCTTAAAGTGATATCTTTGGCTGGACAACCCACGTGATAATCTACGAAGACGGACGTGGTTCCAAGTGGAGGCTATCAATAGCAAACCTAATTATGCATAGACCTATTTAGGGATTAAGCTTCTTGGTTTGTTTGAGTAATGTTAGGCAAACGAAAAAGTGAAACCGGCATAGATAATAAGACCATCTCCATTAGGAGTATCTTAATATTGAGTTTCTGACTAATAAAATAAAAAATAAAAAAAAGAATGTAGAAAGTTTCTCAAGTGAGAAACTATGAGATACTCTCTACCTGCAATTATAGTATTTCTTTACTTTCATTTGGTTCAATTTTTTTACTAAAATAAAAATTTAATCATAAAACAAAATTGTAATAAAATATTAATATTTTTTTGTTTGAAAAACTAAATGGATTTCTCCTTGATGGAGATGCTCTAATACTTCAACAATTAAACTAATTTGAGGCTTTAGACTTCCATTAATAATGTTTACATTTAGATTCTGAATAGTAAAAATTGTTTAAATATATATTCAAACTATAAGTTACTTGAACCACACTTGAGATCGGATCCAAAAGTAAGTAGGAAACATTGACGATAATGGTATTAGGGCTGGGAAAAAAAAAACTGGATCCGATTACCTGAACCGGAACCGACCCAAAAAATTGGACCCAAAACTGAACCCGAAGATGTACCCTATTGGGTCCTAAATTCCTCTACCCGAAAATACCTGAATATTTTATTCGAAAATCTAAATTTTATCCAAAACTCAAAATTTTACCCGAAAATCCATATATTTACCTAAAAATCGAAAATTCTGGTATCGGTTCCAAAAGAGCCTGAAATTTACACCGAACTAATCTGAACCTGACTGGAACCGAACCGAAACCGAACTGATAATTTAGATTTACCCTATTGGATCTTAAACTTCTTTATCCGAAGGATTGGTATCCGATTGGGTTTTACCCAAATACAAACGGCTTACCCGAATGCCCACCCTTACTGGTATACAAGGAGTGTTTGAAAAAGTCATCAAAACATACATTGTTATATTCTTCATTTCGACATAACGAGAAAAAACATAATACAATGCAATACTTAATTTTATACATTCTTGGATTTTACCTTTTATTTATAACATATACATTATACACATTTGTCACATTGATCACTGATCAGTAATACGATGAGGAATCATTCTCTATAGACCACCTCGTAGGCTCGTACGTCTACAGAAAATTGAAAAACACTTTGTTGGTTCAGGTCCATATTCAATTATTTTTTTACTGGGCAAAAAGGTCAAAATAGGCCCAAAGAACAGCCCACTTGATAAACCCTAATTTTATTCTTGGAGGATGTAGGTTTTTTCTTTTTTTTGGTCAGAGCCACCGACGTTCCTATATAAATCACCTAATCATTTCATTAATTCTACGAACCCTAATCGTTTTTTTGTATCAAAAATTGTTTTTTCTTGGTTTTGCATGTTAGTTTTTTTTCGTTCTGATTAGTTTTTATATTATTGGAAAAAAGATTGGGAGGTGATGATTATTTCCCCAGATGATCGAAGCTGATTATACGGAGCGATTTTATGTTTCTCTCTTTCAGAGAGATTCCAAGCCAATTTTCTGATCCCTTTTTTTTTTTTATATACAATCAATTTTATAACTAGTTTCACATAATTAGATGGAAGTGAGGATTATTTCCCCAAATGATCGAAGCTGAACAATCTGAGCGAATTGATTTCTCTTTTTTGAGAAAATCCAAGCCTATTTTCTGATCCATCTTTTTTATTTGCCTTGTTTGGTAAAACGATTTTTTATATATATTTTTTTGTGTGGTGAGCAAAGAAAAATTGTGTTAATATAATTCAAGATTAATTTAGATACGTAGTATTTTCTTGTTATTTTATAATTAATCATGCTATTACAAAGATTGATGATTTTTAATTGTTTGAGTTTCAAGAGAGGTTATTTTGTCAATGGAAGTGGCAAATTTAACTTAGTTTAGAATAGGACTAATGCTTACTGATGTAACACGCCAAAATCAAAAGTTATATCACCTTGTGAATTTGTAGTTTGAGCGAGTAGATTAACAAATTCTATGATATTCAACATTTTGAAAGCATTATCTGAAGAAAGTATACACATGTTACGAAATCATAAAAACAAACTATAGTTTTAAAGTTGCAAAACCTAAGTGTCGAGCCACAAATCAAGCAGCAACCTCGATGTATGGCAAAGTGAAGATTAATCAAAGTATCAAACAATAAACTTACAAAGAGGGGCTAGGCTCAGCTGCGAAGTAAGGTAATAGCAAATGAGTAGTGCAAACGGCCAGACCTAGCATTGCTAAGAAGGCATATTCCTGCAAGACAGAGGAAGAGAGAGTTCATCAACAGGCTACTACCACTACTACACCTACTTGATGCAGAATCAATTGAGAATTTAGATACGTATCAAACATGCTCGTGTTCTAATTCCATTAGCTTGTTCTTATCCATAATTCTCATAACAACTACTAGACATTCTCTTGCTACTTTCCAGCTAGATGGAGGCTTAATTTTTACACAAGCTTGAAAGTGTTTTAAGATTCAATGTCTGCATGATGTGAAAGTTAGTTGATGAACAAAAATGTAAAAAGCTAAGTTTCCCAAAGTAGAAGGACAGAACCAAAAAAGCTGAGCCATGAGAGTGAAGTCTCTTCAACAGTAAACTAGGCTTGTTAACCAAAATTACATGAAGCTAAGAAAAAAAAAACAAATCACTGATCATGCTACATCAGAGATCATAACTGCTACCAAGTCATTGAAAGTTTGAAACACATAATATAGAGACATAAGCCTAGGATTCCAACATCTATACATAGCAAATTTTGTAGTTTTGTTTCCTTAGTTAAATTTCAACTATACTAGATTCTGTTGGAACTCAATCTAGTATTACTTCATCACAGTTTTGAACTCCAAGAACTTGTTAAAAACATAAAAGAAAGATGAAGAACAAATCCGATAGTGAGACGATTCTTAGGGTCACGAGTAGAATAGCCTTTAAAGTAAAAGAATCTGCTAACGTTGTAAAGCAAACCAAGACCTGCACAGATACAAGCATGCTTCATCCCACCAAGGATCATAAGTATGAAATACATTGGCATCATCTCCTAAAATACATCGGTTTAATAAATCCGGATTTCGGTTCACAAATCTGGTTCGAATTTCGTTTGGTTTGTTGATTAGGTATATTCTAGAACAACCAGCTTCAAGCTTCACGTTTTGGAGGTAAGAGAGCAAGAGAACAAAATCATGTCTTATCTCTCTTTTTTTATAAAGATATGTGGAGACGACTCTTTCTTAGTTTCTTACCTTCCTCTTAAGTATGTTTGGATTCTCGGGAAATTAAGCATAAAAATTATTGTGATTAGGGGTTTAGGCATCACTATGTAGCTACCCCACTGTGTTTATGTGCTTAATTCCTTTTGTTGTAATATCAAATATGCAAGCTCAAAGTCTTGAACTGTTGAACAGGTCTTTATGTTTTGCACCTTTGCTCTTAAGTTTCTTGTTTAGTTTCAGTTGAATCATATGAGTTACGTTGTGACCAAGTAAGATATATATTCATGATAGTATATAACTAGTGTTGTTATTTTTAGCAATACCTAACCCAAAGAAATGATACAAAATCCCTTTTTGGTATCAAAAAAAAATTGTTGGGATCAAACCATTTGATTTTAGAGATTTGTGATCTGTTTTGTTTTATTCTAATAGAACATCAACATGATTCCAACAACAAACACATTGTTCTGTAGCCTGGAAGACAAGTAAACCCGCAAATCACTTCATTGTAGTAAAAAAATATGGTTCTCTTTTAAAGTGTTAATACTTAATACTGTGGCTTGAGCTAAGCCCATCAGAAATAAATAACTAAGATTTGCTGATAAATATCATAAATCCAATGCAAAGTTTTCGTAGGGAAAGCAAAAACATAAAAGAAGACCAAAATAAAATTCTACCAATCATTTCTTCTCCCATTCCTAATCGACAAAGATCCAAAACTCGAAGACACATCATCAAGCAAAGCATCACTCATGGCATCTCTTAGATTCTTATCATCTACAGCATCGTAGAAGCATCCACGTGTCCTAGACTCACTTATAAGTTCTGCCCAAATGGAACCACTTAGAGCCAAAGTGGTCCCGTTACCAATCACCCATAAACAATGTCTTGCACGAGTCAATGCCACGTTAGCTCTTTGACGGTTACTGAGAAATCCCACGTTTCCGTTAACGTTACATCTAACGGTAGAGATGATGATAACGTCTACTTCTCCTCCTTGAAACCCATCTACCGATTGAACATTCAAAGTGAAAAGCTGATCAACTGATAAGGAATTGTACTTATCACCAACTCTCTCTTGGATTGCTCTCACTTGTCCCTTGTAAGGTGAAATAACTCCTACACTCATCTTCTGCTTCCTTTGACTTGAAACTGTTTCAATATCAAATAAATTAACCAAAAAGAATAATGAAAAAAAGATTATACAAATCAATAAATATTAATGCAAATACCTTTGAAAAGATTGGATATGATTTTGGAAATGACAGCAACTTCAACCATGTTTTTGGGACTATGTCCATCACCAAACTCTTCTTTCCCACGTCCCACATTGATAAATGAGAAAGTACCAAACATGTTTCCTTGAAGAAACCTCTTCTCGTAAATGCTTTCTTGAACATTTGCAGCATCAGTGATTCTCCCACCATAAAACTCCTTATTAGGGAAACGACTAATGGAAGGATGCATTCGATACTGAACATTAAGCAAATGTTTGCTATGACCAATCAAAACCAATCTCTCAAACAAGCTTCTTCCGAATTTCGCCTTATCGCATTCCTCGTTATGAACCATTGCTGGCAACTGATACTCATCTCCTATTAGAAGAGCATGACAAAGTCCAGGAAGTTGCAATGCAGCAACTGATTCACATTCCTTAAGCTGAGCTGCCTCATCTACCACAAGAAGGTCCACAGAGCCTATCCTCGCCGGATTGATATTAGCAACACTTGAGGCTGTGCAGAATATTATGTCAGCATTTTGTAGACAAAACTTTCTAATATCTTCATTATTTGCTAAACCAAAAATCCCAAAACATTTTGGAAGTAGACAGAGAGCCTGAAGGGCATCAACACTGATGAGTTTGTTGAAGCAATTGAATCTAAAACCACCTTTCTTGAAATCATCTCTAGAAGAATTCTCCTGCAAGAAATATCTAACACGGTGAAGCGCTTGGCGGGCTGCTATCAAATTCTTGACATCTTTAGATGAAATGAAAGACTTAGGCAGATGAGTGCTCAAATCAGCCATATCCTTCCCCAATTCCTCAGTTAAGACATATAACTTCTTTTTCACAAACTCTCAAATGTTGGAATGTTTACAACTTCTTGCATCGTCCTCTCTTCAACTTCTTCCTTCTTCTTTTCATCTTCTGTCATTCTTTCAAGCTCTAGTTCATTTACATGTTGCTCGTACTTAGTCTCTGTGTTCTCAAGAAAATCTATGATTGACTCTAACCTCTTCTTCCATCCACAAGTAGATAAAAACAGTCTACCAAGTTTACTAACGCGGTCATTAAAAAACACATTGAGAAGAACTTTATTGCTCGTAATTCCCATTCTCTCGCGGTTTCCAGATAGAACTATATTCCCCATACCGTAAGTGGTACGTTCTAATATAGAAGTTCCATAGAATAAGGTAGAGAATTCGAACCTTGATACTACTTCTGCGATAGCCGAGTTGGTTGGAGCACACACAATTGTTTCCTTAGATAAAGATAATAACCTTGACGCAACTGCTACAATAGTTGTGTTTGTAGGAGCACATACAACTGTTTTGCACTTTAGTTGCATAAGAGTAGAGAGAAGTGTCGCGACCGTCTTTGTTTTGCCTGTACCAGGAGGTCCCCATATCAGTTTCACACTCTCCTTGTGTTTACAATTCCTTGTCTTAAGGAAACCCAAAATCGCAGCTTCTTGGGAAGAGTTCAGTTTTGCTGAACGTATTATATCGACAACACGGTCAGAATCAGAACCATCAACATCATTTTCACAAGAAAAACATTGTTCTGTAGCCTGCAAGACAAGTTAACCGACAAATCACTCCATTGAAGCATAAGATAGAGCTCTGTTTTTATGTTACAAAGAAATTTGAATTGGATCAAGATTATTTCTTAATGCGTACCGAAGCATCTTCCTGAAGGACACTCTGGATCAGAGTGGAATCGGCAGCATCCTTGTGTAAAGCGTTCCAAATTCGAGTGTTTGTGGTTATATTAATGAGAAAAACACCTGTGCAAAATGTATGTTTCTCACTCTGAGAAATGGATCTAGAGAAGTGAACAGAGATTTTAGAATCACCATACACAGAGAAAACGTAACCTAGAAGTAAAGGATCCAAGTCATCGATTCTTGGCCTTTCTTCTGTCAAACTCAGAGGACTCAGTGCAATAATATCTCCACACTTTGGCTCATATATTTCGTTTTTATCGTCTGCATAATCCATTAATTTAATATCATGGAACAACTTGATCGATGACCTTCCACTATTTTCAATCACTTTTGTCTCCACAGAAAGTATTCGTGAGACAGGAGATTTCGATAAAGATCTGAAGCTCGAGAACAACTCAGTTCGTGTTTCCTCGAGTAAATGAGGAACAAAACACTGAGAGTATTCATCAACGGAACTAAATCTGTCTGGTATTGTCATTATCTGTTACAAAAATACAAAAATAAGTAAG